AATTTATTGTTAACCTCATATCAGTGCTAATAAACTCCCACTGAGGAGCTTCAGTTCACTATATTAGAAGATTTGGCTGAAGCCATGATTCTGCTATGAGAACATTGCTTTAATTAAACTGAGAAGGTAGAAAGGCACATAACATACAGTACAGTAAACCTGTGGGGGAGGTCACCACCAGCCACAGGCTTAAACCTTAATTTGACCCCCTCACACACTATCAGCTCGCACCCCAGACACAAAATAACACAGGCACAGACCTTAACCAACAACAGCAACATTAACAATCGCCACAATATAGGTTACTGTATAATATACTGTGTAGTATATAGACATATATAGTGGATGTCTGTTACTGAGTCCCTGACGTCCCTCACTGATCCTCACATTTTAAACATCAATGTGTAAGCGGCACATGTGATAAACAGGTGGCGGTACACCTGATGGTTTTAGGAATTGATGATGCTGGACTGGGTGGTGAGACATTTTGGCTGTTGAATGCAGACTGTTAGAATGTGAAGGTGTAGGTAATGCAGGGTTCTTAGTTAGAGTTTATATCAGGACTACTTTTTGTTTCAGCCTATATAAATATAAACAAGAGGGTTAAAGACTCCTTCTAGATTTACTGTTGCAGAACTGTATAGACCTGGTTTGGAGGTCTGTCTTCAAGGGTACAAACTTGTACAGACCAGTGAGGAAATAAAGTCAAGAGGTTATAAACAACATATAGCATTTATTTTATACAGCACTTCTGAAACTTTGAACATAACATTTACAAAACAAAACTATAAAAACAAAGCACAATTAGAGTTTGCATATACAACTAATGACAGCAAAGTTAGCCTAATGAAACTGGTTTGAAAATGTTTAGTGACTGTAGAACTGCAAAGAGAATATGTTGTGCTTTACATATGAACATACAACAGACTGCAGCCTAATCACAGCATAAGAGAAGAGATATCAGGTACGAGCTACACTTCATGAACACCCCCCAACTCTATTTATGTAAACCTGGCATTAGTGTTGTAGTACTTGAGTCTGGTGTTGAGTCTTGTCTCAGTCTTAACATTATTTGGACTTGGTCTTTTCTCAGTCTCCACATATAATCTGAGTACAAGACAAAGACCCTTAATGCTACAGCCATCCGTAGCCGGGAGTCCGAGAGAGCACAATTGGCCTCGCTGTCTCTGGGTGGGTGGGATGGCTGCCCTTCTCCCCCCATCACTCACTCAGCGCGATGCTAGTCAGCGCAGGCGTCTGTTAGCTGACGTAACAGATCTGGCGGTTGGCGCTTTCCTCCGAGCGCGTTCGGCTGTCCAGTGACGTTGCGTGAGCGGCAGCTCGAAAAGAAGCGGTGGCTGGTTTCACAGGTCTCGGAGGAAGCCTGTGTTAGCCTTCACCCTCCTAGCGTTGATAGCGTCGTGTGTGATTGGGGGAGTCCTAACCAGCGGGCGGAATTGGAGACGACTAAATTGGGGAGAAAATCGGGTAAAAATTAAAAAAAAAAAAAACCTTTGCATGATCAAAGGGTTCTTTGCATCATTATATGGTTCTTAAAATTGATGGAGAATATGTTGTAGATTTTTTAGAAATAAAAACATTTATGGTGCTACATGGAACCCTTTTTCAAAAAGATTATATATGGAACCATATAAAACACAATCTCCATCAATCTGAAGAACCCTCTTACAATGCAATTAACCTTTTAATCATGCAAACTATATTCTCAAGAGAATATAGTTAATGTCTGTAGCTAATCTGTGTTAAGTGGACTCTACACAACTCTCAAAATCTCAGAATCGCTGTACTGATCCCTTGATGACAATTAGTTATTGTGTTCTGTTGTCAGTGTAGCAGTGCGCACACTGTAATCATAAAGAGATCCTCAACAGAGTGCACTCAATCCCCAAAATCCTGCTGACTCACAGAAATAAACGAGTCATGTCTTTAATTTGCCAAATTAGAGCTTGAGCAACTTAGTTTTCTTTTTCCTCAAATTTTTAATGATAATCCATAAAGTGACCAGACAGGCCCTAGGTGAGTTGGTGTGAAATGGCCTTGAAGCAGTTACAAATGAGCCGTACTCAAAAAGACCAATACACTGGTTACACAGTTACAGTGTATCAGTAGAGGTTGAAGGTTTGAGAGCAGAGAGGAGTTATTTAGAGGGCTGTGGTCTGACTTCATTCTTTTCTACTGAAACAGTGGTAATGAGCTCTTCAACCACTAAGGGATCGAAACTCAATGATGCAGAAATCTACATGATGACAATACGCCTCAACTGAGCTTGTTTTTTTTTTACTACTTTTAATCTAAATTACAGATAGATTGTGCAGAAATTAAAATAGAAGAAAAATTGAAAACAAAACCTCGAATGATCTGAATAATCAAAATGAACACACACAGCTGCACTCAGACAATCACACCATGCAGTAAATCACCCATATGCACCTTCCAGCCCAGCGAGAGCTCAGAGGGGGTTAAATCTGATGTCAGGCCTCTCACTAAGAATAAAACTGATGGTCTGTTTGCACCTAAACTCTGTGAACATGGCAAGCTATGTTTACTGACTGTGTGCATTCTATTTAGTAGCATCTTTAACACCAGTTTTCAGCTTTTATTTCCATGTATACGGAAAAGAAGAAATCTAATTAAAAAAAAACAAAAAAAAACAGACTCCTCACTGCAGCGCTTTGTACAGCCAGTAGGGGCACTTCAGCAGAACAAGCTCAGGAGAATATAGTTAAGGTGTTAAAGCTAATCTGTGTTGTCAAGTGGGCACTACACAACTTTCAAAATCTCAGAATCGCTGTTCTGATCACTGTATGACAATTAGTTCTTGTGTTCTGTTTTCAGTGTAGCAGTGTGCACATTATATAATCATAAAGAGGTCCTCAACAGAGTGCACTCAATCCTTAAAATCCTGCTGACTCACAGAAATAAGCAGGAGATATGTCTATCATTTGCCAAATTAGAGCTTGAGCAACTTGCTCTAGTTGTGTCTGCACTCAAAATAACAAAAAAATGTACTGTACTTTTTGAAGTGTTGCAAGATTGCATGAGTGAAATTGAATTTTTTACTTGATTTTTTCATGATAATCTATAAAGTGACCAAACAGGCCCTAGGAGAGTTGGTGTGAAATGACCTTGATGCAGTTACAAATGAGCCGTACTCAAAAAGACCAATACAGACAAAACAACTATGAGTGCGATCTAACTATGAGCGGTCACACAGTCTCTGTGTATCAGTAGAGGTTTAAGGTTTGAGAGCAGAGAGGAGTCATTTAGAGGGCTCAGTGATGCAGAAAGCTCCATGTTGACAGAAGGCCTCAACTGAGCTTGATTTTTTTAATGAGATTTAATCTAAATTACAAATTGTACAGAAATTAAAACAGAAGAAAAACCAGAGAGCAAACCTCAAATGATCTGAGCAATCAGAATAGACACACAACGCACACTGCTCCACTCAGACAATCACACCATGCAGTAAATCACACATATGCACCTTCCAGCTTGAGTCCAGAGCAGCACAGAGGGGGTTAGATCTGACATCAGGCCTCTCACTACATCTAAGAATAAAACTGATGACTTGCCTGCAACTAAACTCTGTGAACATGTCATGGCAAACTATGTTTACTGACTGTGTGCATGCTAATCAGTTGCATGTTTAACACCAGTCATGTTTAGCATCATATTTAGAAACAGATGAAGCTCTCTCTGTACTTCCTTTTTCACATTCGCCATCATATTTGGATGCATACAGTTTCAGGACTCTAGCTGATTCTATTTGAAAGTACTACATATGAAGATGTCTATTAAATGACTGATATTTAATGTAAAGTATTTGGATCAGTGAAGATTTTATATTAGTGACCTCTAAGATGTTCTTTCATTGGCCAATTTCTCTCAGATACTGTATGAATCTAAAAAGTATTTTAAAAGAACAGTTTAATCCCATTGTGAATTGTGTCCAAAATCATTTAATCTGATGAAATCACTGATCTTGGTGAAAGCTCTGTGCTGTGACAAATTATTTGTAAAAGTAAAAATAATGTTTTTTCCTGATTTCAAAAACTGCCCTTGTGTGAAAAAAAAAGATTTTTCTCCCCTTAGTTACTCAATCAACCAATTAACCAAATGTAGCTGATAAAGATCAGTCTGTGATCTGAAGCTTAAATGTAAATGGGTTATGCCGCAAGATAATGAACCAACGCACAAAAGCAAGTCCACCTCTGAATGAATTAAGGTTTTGGAGTGGCCTAGTCACAGTCCTGACCTTAACTCCATTGAGATTCTGTGTCAGGACCTTAAAAAGGCAGTTCATGCCCACAAGCCCTCCAATACGGCTGAATTAAAGAAATTCTGCAAAGAAGAGTGGGCCAGAATCCCTTCACAGTGATGTGAGAGACATCCGGTTGGAGGAAGCATTTGGTTGAAGTTGTTGTTGCGAAATGAGGCACAGGAGAACATTACCTGTCTGACTGCATTGTGCCAACTGTAAAGTTTGGTGGAGGAGGCATGATGCTATGGGGTTGTTTTTGAGGGGTTGGTTTAGGCCCCTTAGTTCCAGTGAACGGAAATCTTAATGCTTCAGCAGACCAAGACATTTTGGACAATTTTATGCTTCCAAGTTTGTGGGAACAGTTTGGTGAAGAACCTTTTCTGTTCCAGCATGACTGAGACCCAGTGTACAAAGCAAGGTCTATAAAGGCATGACTGGGTGAGTTGGGTGTGGAAGAACTTGACTGGTCCACACAGAGCCCTGACCTCTTGGTGTCCCAGTATTTTTGTCCATAAAGTGTAGATTTAAGTTCTGATCCTTTACATGTTTGATTTATGGAAATGTTGGTGCTCAAGAGTTCTTCCTGTGAGTTTTCCTGAAATGTATTGTTTTCTGTCTCTCTCTCTGTGACGTGTGCTTTGAGTGTAAGAACACAGGAAGTGTTGATTGTTGAACGCGTTGCTCAGTCAGTCAGTCAGTCATTACGGGGGCAGGATGGAGTTCAGGTCACTCTCTGTAATACTCTGTGAGTAAATGTTCTCTTTATGTCTTCATTAGAGTGAGAGCTGCTGTATGAAGGTGTTAATATTCAGTCTGAGGGTTCTGAGTGATCAGCTTCTGTGTGATTCAGTAACTGTATGTAGTTCAGTTTACAAGCTTTTCTTTCATGAAATCAGAGTGTGAAGGGTTTCAGTTGGAGGTCCTTTGATATGTTTTATTGCAAAAATATATGAGCGCCTAGTCTGCACTTTAGGTCATTATCAGTAAACATGCATTTTTGTGTCATTAATACACCATTTTGATTTTAAATGATTATGTGTTCTAGACTGATCTATGAATACTTATATGAATAGATGGTGCCCCTGGTTAACCTGTCGATTGGTACAAAACTGTGGAATTATTTTAGTGATGAATAATGCTGTGTTTAGGTCTGATTAGCAGCACAGTTTGTATGGGATTATTCTGGAGATTAAAAAAGCTGTTATTAGGTCTGGCTGGCAGGACAATTTGTATAGAACTCTGAGATTATTTTGGAGATTAAGAAGCCTGTTACCGGTTTTGATCCCCAGACTTCCCACGTTTTATATTTACATTTAGAACACTTATAACAGCTCACATGAACACAAAAGGTGAAGAATTTATAATCTTAGTCTGTTTACCAAAATGTGTCCCATTTTATTGATTCTTTTAACTACCATTCAAATCTGGAGGGGCATTTCAGCACAATGTGCTCTGGTTTGCCATCTCCAGCTATTTAACCCCAGGTTTCTGCCCTGTGGGGACAAATGGTTTTTGGGTGAGAACCCCATTCAGCTGCATTTTTCTTTGTGAATAAATGCAGATACACACACAAATAATTTAGTTGTTACTCAGACTGACTCACTGGTTAGGAGGCATAAACATTGTTTAAGAGAAAGTGCTACTGAAAACTGTACTATTCAAAGTTCAAAAGACAAATGGTGCAGTGAAAAGTATGAAAAACACTTTTGCAGGGTTTAGAAATACTAATTTGGCATATATGAATATATGAATGAATAATTGAATGAATCCAAACAAACACAAATGAACAGCATCTGACTGACATATGACTGAAGCAAATGTTGGTATAAAGATTAGCATGAGCAAGACTCTGAATATTTCTAAAAGCTGCTCAGTGTCTTTACCAGATCACCACTGTTGGCACAGAAGTGCTGTTCTAATATTTTTTGGCTCATTTAAATGTTTATGTATTTTATTCTCTTCATATCCATTCAGTGTATCTCAGATGTTGGGCTGTTTTATATCTGTTACACTCTTACTCAGCACTGTTTGAAGCTACAAGCTTAAAATAAGGCTCTGTTTTAAGAGTTAAGATCATTTCAACTGGCAGAGAAAATGTGATACTCTACCATTTAAGAATCAGCTTTCTATTAAGATGCTTCTGCTTTTGGGAAACCCAGCAAAGAACAACATCCTCTCTCTCCTCAACCTTAGCAAGGCTGGTGTTCATAAAGCAGTTCTGAGTTAGATGACCAAGATCAGAGATTCATCTGTTTTAATGATGGTCATGATCACAAACACTGGTTCTAGATCAGCACTCTCATTCTTGAGGTGGCTTAGTGATGCCACAGAAAAACATACATGTTGTATCATGTCGGCTTCCACATAATTAGCTATATATCCATATTTGAGAATTGTTAAGTGACCCTTATTAGTCCCACAATGGGGAAATTTCACGTCTGCAATCTAACCCATCTGTGCAGTGATACACCACATACACACTAGTGAATGGGCAGCCCTCTCTGCAGCGCCCGGGGAGCAGTTGGGGGAGATAAGGTTCTGTATGAAATCTAAATCTGTGAATGTTGTTTATTGAACTGGGTGTAGGAAAGAGTTTCTACAGCTGGGACTTTTATAGGTTTTAATTAATGTATTTATGTGTTTATAATTCATACTGGTGAGACAGTAACATGTCAGGAGATCAGAACCTGATATCACTGACTGACCGCTGATCAGCAGAGTGTCGTTTGAATAAGTTCATTATTATGAATCTAAATTATGAAAACTGACTGGAGATCAGTAGGTGACCCACCTACATTTGACTCGGGGTCACTTTGGGGGTCGAGCGACCCGCAACGTCGAACCGCAGAACATTGAATCGTTTCCAAGCAGTGGTGACGTAATGAAGCTGGTTTACTGAAATCACGTGACTTGGTCTCTTTGATTCATGCTTCGAAGCAGTTGTTTCTAAACAGAGGAGGCGCTATTGACACAGCCTCGGTTTGAATCTAGGTCTGATTCTGGTCCAACTGTTCAGCTCACATCCGGGCTAAATACCATATGCTGTGATATTCAACAATCCCCTGGAGAACCACTGCTCTGCACATTTGAATGATGTCCTGCTCTAACTCATCCACTTCAACAAAGGAAAGGTTTGTTAACGAGATGACTACAGGAGTGTAGAGAGCAGGGAAAACACGAAGGGAGCAGGGGAGGCTCCAGGACCAGGGGAGGCTCCAGGACCAGGGTAGTATAATCACTGAAAGGGAGCCTGAAGGGTGGAGAAAGTTTGATGCTGCGTTAATGTGTGGAGTAAAGGGGATTTTTGTTGATCAGTGTGGAGTTCATACTGTTTGTCCCTCCACAGCCCTGCACGCGCTGTCTTTCTAACTCTGACAGAACCGACCACCTGCCCCCTTCACACAAACTACGCTCCACTACACTGCCGGACTCTTATTTTCAGTCTGAGCTCTCTTCTCCTCTGAATCCCTAAAAACCTCATCATATACCGCTGACAGACGCCGCTTTGCTTCCTGCTTTTCTGGCGCTAAACCACACTGTTTAAATCGCCATGGTAAAAGCGATGTCTCTGATTGGTGGAGCTCTCTCTAGGGCGTATGGGTAATGTTTTTGTTTACGAGAAATAAGGGAATAAAACGCGATTTTTCGGAAACGAAGCTGAAACCGGACTGATTGGTGGCTTTAATTGGAGCACATAACCTACCATCATCTCACAATCTCGTAGCTCAAAGTCTACATTGATAAAAATCTAATTCCTATGGTGATGAATGGGATTTTTGTTTCCAGAACCAGACTGTTCTCAGCTCTGTAACTTAATGTTTCAACAGTAACAGTGAATAAAACATTGTGTACATATTATTTAATATTACTTATTACCTTTTCTGAACCTGTTTCCCAGACGAAAACGAGGATAAGAGGATCTTTCTCTCCTGGGCTGGTGCTAGCTGCTTTAGGGTAATGCCCAGTCACTTTAGCCTGCTCTTTTACCGCATCGAGTCACACTGAAGCAAGTATTAGTTCTAAAGCACGTCGGCATTTATTTTCAGTTCATGCACTCAAGCTAAACTTAGGGTAAAGTAAACAGAGGGAAGAAGAGCTGTGTGGTTTGTAAAGCTAGCATTACAGAACGTAGCAGAGAGAATTAACAGTCAGCTAGTCCCCTCTAGTTCTGTCGGTTATTTTTCCAACATGGCGATGATTGTCTTACGCATAGTCCTATTGCCCTATAGATAAATAATACACACACACACACACACACACACAATACATGGATCACCTTACCCCACTGCGTTTTCAGGCTAGTTCATCATCTGTGAACACAAAGTATTCAAACCCGTTACAATCGGCGTCTGGAGAGTCGGCAAAATGAGCTCGGGTTGGCATTATCCACACACATTGCAGCACGATTTCTGTAAATACTGAGTTTTAAAGGTTTTGTAACGTGCACTCAGCCCGAACCTATACATACTCAATTGGGCCGTATCAGCACATATGGTAATCAGCCCAAGCTCCTTTTGCCAACCGCCCCGCAACTAGCCCGAGCCTATGAATGCACACCTGGGCCGCGTCAATACATACGGGAATCGGCCCGAGCCCCTTTTGCAAGCTCTTCGGTTGCTGAGCGTCACCCACACTCGGCCCAATTCAAGCTAGCCAATGACGAGTCTCAGCCGATGCTGCCACAGATCAGCCGAGCTCGGGCCGAGTCTTCTTCCTTTCAACGTTGAGTCTCCCAGATAGCAAAAATCAGTTGGGCCACATCCCGGCCGAACACCGCACACTGAGCTTGAACCTCATTGGCCGAGACTTTGGCTTGAATCTCGGCCTAATTCTGGCCTAAATGCTCGGCTCACATCCGGATACGTCGTGATATTAACACTCCCAGCTAGCAAAATATACTTGCTTAATTTACTTCCATATAGTTTATGCATAAATCTCTATTTATTAACTACATGTACCTCAATCAAAAGCACAGCATTTGCTCAGATGTAGATTAACATTCACTTTTCTGAAATAGCGTAACAGAATCCAGACAACAATAAAAAGAAAACCAACTGACCCAAATCCCCAAAGAACAAAGTACAGCACAGGTGAACGCAGCTGAACAATCAATAGTCTGCCAGTTTTAATGTGCATCATCATCTATTAAGCTAGTATGTACTGTATCATGACATGTAAAGTAACACATTCTTAAAGCTCACCTGTTTTCACCTGTGTGCATGTGTGAATTTCAATGACAACACTAGAAATCATTTGGAAGCAATTTCTTTAATTGTCTTACATAAATATACAGTACTTGCCTACAACACTGGCGAAATGGAACAGTCAGTGCATAGATAAATAAACAGTTACCATAAACAGGTGTGAAAGAAAAATACACACGAAACTGAAATGTGCAGAACTCCACTGTGCTTCGTTTTATATACATATACACACACAGCCACCATCATTTACAGCTACCTTGTATTTACTCATTTTCCATTTAATCAGGTCCACCTATATGGGAGTACTTTGTAGATCTACAATTACAGACTGTAGTCCATCCGTTTCTCTGCATATTTTGTTAGTCCACTTTCACCCTGTTCTTCAATGGTCAGGGCCCCCCAGGACCACCACAGAGCAGGTACTATTTGATAGGTCATTCTCAGTACTGCAGTAACACTGATGTGGTGGTGGTGTGTTAGTGTGTAGTGTGTTGTGCTGGTACAAGTGGTGGACTGAGAATAGTCCACCAACCAAAAACAT